ATTCTGGGGTTGCCATGGTGACATGAAATCTGAATCTAGAAAGGGTCTGATTCAAGAGGCATTTACTGAAATACCTGCCTCCCACCTTGCTTATCTGCCATCTTTCTTCATCCATCCATCCCGATTTTTAGCTATCAGGCAAAAATACAGGCACAGCGTCTCCAGAAAGCCACTGTTCACACGCACCTGGGAAGCATGGGTGATTACTGGCAATCTCCCCTAGCCTTGTACCTGTAAGTTGTTTTGTCAAATTAGGTCCGTGTCACTTTGGAAGACAGAGGGTATCAGAAACTGACACTCTGAGCTAAGCTTCAGGGGTGAAGTAACAATTCAAGGGCTGTGGGTCCCAGGAATAGGTCCTTAGCTGGCCTTCCGGAGTTAGTAAATTAGGAGACTCTAAACATTTTGATTCCCGTCTGTCACACATGAATTGCATGACTTTGTGCATGTTACTTAACTTCTCCGAATCTGGCACTGTTTGTATCTGTAAAATGGGTAGGCATCACCTAACCTATTTTTCAGAGGTTTTGTTAGAATTGAGAACTTTTAACAGCTGTAGTACCTGACACAGGGCGGCCACTCAAGCATTCTTTTTTGAATGAGTAACAGGTGGAAAAATCCCACTGAGGGCCTGCCTCATAGAAAATTCTCAATAAATTAAATTTAAGATTTAGTGATGAGAAAAATTCTGAAAACTGCTGAGCTATCATGTGTGTAAAAGGCCACCAGTCTCTCAGCTCAAGGAAGAAAAGCTATCTGTGCTGTAAAACATGTTTCTTGCTCTTGACCAAGCTTAGGGCACTTCAGGGTCCTACTCTCACTGAGACTGAAAATTTGCACCAGTCAGAAAGAGGGGTGAATTCTAACATCCATTAAAAACTGCATGGTGAGAATTGTTCCTTTCTGTTGCCAGGAACCGAAACAATACAGTTTACAAGACAGAACATTTTCCACTTATCTGCTACACACATTTAACAATTTCTATTTTGGTCCATTATTAATCTATAATTATTCTTTTTTGTGGAGTTGAGAAATCCTAGCAGGAGGTTACATTGCTCGAAGAATGAATTCTTGCCTGAACAAGGAAAATTGGAAAAAATACAAGCCCCAATGGGGCAAATGCCTTCCCATTTCCTGAGGCACACTAAGACGACTACAATTAGCTCAGTTTCTAATAGTTTCCACAGCTCTGCTACTGGGTATATCTCACTTTTCCACCATGAGCCTGGTAAACATTGCCTAAATTTATAATCTCTTTCTTACGCTTCTGGGCCACCTCTTTCCTAAATGCAGGGGGCGAGGAGTCAGTTTGAACCTCCTTTAAACACTTGTGTTTCTCTTTCATTCTGACATTTTCCTGATGTCTCCTTACTAGTTCCTTCCATACCTTCCTGATATGTCTTCCACTCCCCAGCAGATGGCTGTCCAGGTTGATACTGCTCTGAGTGTGGACACAGATATCATGTGCTCAAACGCCCTCTCTGGCCTCACTTCTGTCACCCACTCAGGAGTACAGGCCATGTCATAGACCATGACAACAAAGATAACAAATATTTCCCCCCAAATACAGTCATTCCACTCTTACCACTTCCCTTTGGCCGAACTGGATAGATTACATTTAATCATTGTGTAACTGGCCACCACTTAAAGCGCCTCCTCCCCCTAAATGTGATTTGCCAAGAATATTCAGGCCCGGCCAGGGAAGGACAGACAGCACAACTTTGCTGTGGTATTAAATAGAGTGTGATGTAGTGGAAAACACATGGACTCTCATGTCAAGAAAATTTGATCAAAATCCTTCATCTGCCTTTTGACGATGTAATCTTGAGCAAAGTAGATCATCTCTCTTAGGTTCTGTTTCCTTATTTGTAAAATAAGGATAACAGTCCCCACCTTTTAGGGTTGTTGAGAGAATTAAATTAGTTACTGATTTAAAATGAGCTTAGGGGTACCTAGGTGGTGCAGTTGGTTCAGCATCCAACTTTGGCTCAGGTCATGACCCTCATGGCTTGTGGGTTTGAGCCCTACATTGGGCTCAGTGCTGACAGCTCAGAGCCTGGAGCCTGCTTGGGATTCTGTGTCTCCCTCTCTCTCTGCCCCTCCCTCCGGTTGCTCCCTCTCTCTCTCTCAAAAATAAATAAATGTTAAAAAAAGATCTTAGAACCTGCTTAGTACATAATAATCTCTCAATATGTGTTATCTATTGGTATGTCTATCGTTTCGTCCTCAAGCTGTCAATCAGTGTCCAGTCAAGATAGGCCCAGAGCTCTCCAATGCTGAGACTTTTACCAGGTGTATCTCAAGGAAACCACCTTCCCCACACACATCCTGCCAAAATATCTCTCCCTTTGAGGATGATTCCAAAATTAGAAATGCATGTCTTTAACCTGGACTTGATTACTGAGCTTCTTTTAAAACACAAATGTTCCTGGGAAGGGCAACATATTAAGCCAATAAATAGTAACATCTACCATTTGTGAAGTAACACATTCTAGTTAATTGTGACATTTCTTATCTCATCTCAACGGGTTTAACAATCTATAAGGTAAACCTTATCCCTACTGATGTTTTGGCTTATGGTGATAATCAGAGCAAGGATGGATAGGAAGTCACCTAGTCAAGTTTCTTCCTCCCTCCCTTCCTTCCTTCCTTTCTTAATAAAAGCAACGATGGAATAGAAACAATCTGAGATATTGTTATACAGGCTAAGAGTATACAATTAAGCATAAACTGGGTTCACAGAGATGCCCTTTCTAAGGTGGCCTCTGACCTTAGAAACAGTATATCTAAGGAACTCAGAATATTACCTGTCCTATGAGATCTTTTTTTTTTTTTTTTAAAGTTCTTAGGCAGGACTTCTAGGAAGCTTATTCTTTCTTTCTTTTTTGTTTTTTTGATTTCTACGAGAAGGAGAGAAGGAAAGAGGATGAAAGGCAAGCTTGGGAGGGGAAGGTTAGAAAGAAAGGGAGTCTTGGACTGAAACAGGGTCATGACCTCAAGCAACGATGGAATAGAAACAATCTGAGATATTGTTATACAGGCTAAGAGTATACAATTAAGCATAAACTGGGTTCACAGAGATGCCCTTTCTAANTTTTATTGATTTCTAGGAGAGAGAGAGAGAGAGAGAGATTGAGAGACAGCGTGAGCAGGGGAGGGTCAGAGAGAGAGGGAGTCACAGACTGAAACAGGCTCCAGGTTCTGAGCTGGCAGTCAGCACAGAGCCTGACGCGGGGCCCAAACCCACGAACCGTGAGATCATGACCTAAGTGAAAGTCGGACGCTTAACAGACTAAGCCACCCAGGCGCCCCTGTCCTATGAGATCTTGTCTCTTGAGGACCTGTAATGGCTGTGAGAGGTTTGGTGAATGTAAATGAAGGCACCAACAAGTTGGCAACAATGCAACTATATTTAAAGGGATATATAAATGATTGAGTGGGGAGGGTATTTGGGGGGCGGTGGTCTTCCTGGGAATCCTGAGAATAAGTATCAAGGCAGGACATGTGGATTCTTGTTTGTTGGCAAGAGTGGAGTAGGACAGAACCCTAGCTAACATTTGGAGCGTTAACCAGGGCTCAGATGTCTATTTGCTGATTAGAGCATGTACCACCTCCTATCATCATCATGCAGTCTTGTTTCCTGAGTGACTTTTTGTATTTACATAGGTAGCCTGATCTAAAATGGAAGCAATAGGAGCAGAGGCTCCAGAATCAGGGAGATCTAGTCTGACATCACAACTCTGTTGTGACCACGTAACTTGTTCTGTGACCATGGGAAAGTTATTTGATTTCTCTGAACCCCCCACATCCATTACCTGTGTGTGTGTTACAACAGTCACTGAACAAGGTCATGTGACAAATCAGGGACTCCAACTGAGGAGAAGCAGTTGATGCCCAATAAATGCTACTTATTATTATTATTATTATTTGCTTTATCATGGAGACATCTCTAAACTGTGAGCTACTGGAGGGTTACATGTCTTCTTCATCTTCATATCCCTGAAGCCTATGTATTGTACAGTCATGCTCAATAAATGAATATTGACTAATGTTTAAAGTAACAAACCTCAAGAAAAGTGTTTCATGTGTCAAAAAAAAAAAAAATTGCAGTGTAACCCAAGAAACAAGCAGACGTTGCATGTCTTTAGTCGCAAATGGTGGATTTAATAAGTAGAATGTCATCTTTAGTCAATGCCTCCATAGCTGCTTTGGCCTTTACTCATCATTTACATGAGGTGAAAAGCACAGTCCCTAAACATATGCAAGCTGTCAGATCTGGGGGGAAAAATGACCTGGATTACAGGGAGACAGCTCCATCCTGAATTTGAGTGGAAATGATTCTACAGCAGACACCGCACACACCCAGCTCAAGCCCACACTGCTTGCCCAAGCTCTGCACACGTGTTCTTCAACAGTTTGCCAGGTTTGCCCAAGAAGAAAACAGAATGTGTCATTCATCGGTACTCATCAATGTTACTAGATTTCTTTATTTCTTTGGACATGATGAAGCAAAGGGAATGTGTCAGAATCCTCTGCTTCACTGATAAGCAGAAATAATTCTAAATGCAAAAAATTGTGAATTATTAAGAAGATCTTGAAGAAAAGTACATCTCTCATCACTTGGAAGGGAATTCCTGTAGACTGGGAATCTGGCCTTGGGTGATTTTTTGTGGTTCACTGAATGAGTCAAGATTAGGTTGCAAAATCCACCAACAATAATAGTAGCACTATCCTAAGGCTGGAGACACACTGATTAGAAAATGCAAATTATAATAGCATGGTCAAGAATGGGACTGTGTGCTTTTATTGAAAAATTTCCATGCTCATTTGAACCTATAGTGCATTCAGTTTCCACACACGTGTTGCCCTCAGATTTAAGCTTTTAGCCCTATAAGAAAAAGGTGAGGAAAAGCAAAAATTATGCACGTACACTATATAGATACATATTTTCAAATCATAACTTTAATTAATTTACACTTATTCTTTAAAAATGTACATGGTATCCACAAAGAACAATGAGAGGACACAGAATCCTGGATATGCATCTGTAGCAAAGGAGTGGATGGATGATTAGGCAGGTAACAGATGTGGTTATGTCCGATGTCTGAGAAGAAAGGGCCACATTGTTTGCAAGAACTTCCCGTATTGCCCCAGTTTATGATACTGCCCATGTATGTGTATCAAACAAACAAAAAGAAAGAGAAAGGGGAAAAACGATTAAAATGAAGTTCTTATTTTCTTCTACTAGAAAACAATGCATTATTTCTGCTTAGATTATTAACTGTGTATCTCAAAGCCAAGTCATGTTCTAACAATATCCCTGTAATTAGAAACACATGTATCTGCATACGTTACTGCCAAAGTACGTAGGTATTTTACTGGCATGAGTAATCACCATACTGCCATATGGAAAAGCACTGCCAGTGGGCAGAAGGCTTCACAGTGTTGGGACCATAGTGGTAAAAGGAGGGACCATACGTGGCTCTGTATAATGAGGCTCAGACGTGGTCCTAGGAAACCAGAGTCTCAAACACTTACCTCCATGTTTTAGTCCATTTCGCCAAGCCTGAAGCCATTGTTGCTTCCGGCCAATTCCCCCGGTTGGGTCCCATCATTCTACAAAACAAAGAGAAGAGAAACTCTGGATAAATATCCTTATATATCCTTAATCCTATTAATATCATAAAACATAGAGCTTATTACTTTGTCTTCAAAAAAAAAAAAAAAAAGACCATGTTCCATTCCACCCTCAGGTCACTAAGGTCCACTTGCCTAAGGTTAGACCCTGGTGTTGATGCAGCCAATGCTTATTTACAAAAACACATTGGAAGGAATAAACCAGTTTCCATATGGAATACTAATCTATGCTTTCCAGTAATGGACAAAATATGACAAGGTCCTATTCCAAAAGCAAAACAAAAACGAACAACTTACCTGGAATGAGAGTATCTGTAGAAATTTCTCTAAGTCTTGAACCAACTGCCCCATATATAAGGCAGATCCAACATAAAGACATCTTCAGGTGAGGTCAGGGGTCCAGCACAACCCTTATTGTTGCTGAAATAAAAGCTGAGTTTCCATCAGGAAGTGATGCAATGATCAGGAATTACCAGGGTACTGTCATAAGCACATATTCTGCAGACTCGCTGAGGAGTGATGCCTCAGTTCCTTGTACCTAGTTTTAGTAATTTACTGGAGGAAACCAGCAGCTGACAGAGCAGGAGGGAGCTTTGGTCCTTCTGGTGAAGAGTGTACTCCTTTCTTGCACCAGTGTGAAACCCTTAAGCAAGAAAACCTATAGTTCTATGGGTGGTGATGGTCCTAAAATGAGTCATCCATTTTCAGCCTATGGTTAAAATCTACTAACAAGGTCAGACAACATATCCCAACAATGAGACCCCTTCTTTAGAACTAGTGAAGCTGATTTCTCTAAGCACTGTTTCCTGGTTTTAAAGGGGGATCTGTAAGAAAAACAAAAAACAAAACCTCACTCAAATAAAGCATGAGACCTGGGTTTGATGGAGAGGTGGATTTCATTACCACTCATCCAGACCTGCTTCCCTTCCTGGGGTTTGAACTGTATTTTCCCAAAGACACGGAAGTCAGATTTGGATTGACTTGTTCTGCCACTTAAATGAATATGGGAAGGGAAGTGACTTGTATTACATCCAGACAGAAACTTAAGCCATAGTTTGTTCTATGACCAAGGTCTACTTTTGCTTTGCCTTTGCCATAACAGACACCAACATTAAAAGAGACTCCTCCATCACTGTGGGTCCCATGTAGGTATTGACATGGAACAGAACCACTTGCTAATACTCATTGAGCATGGAGTGTAATTGAAAAGTGTATCCTGGGGGGTACCTGGGGGGCTCAGTCGGTTAAGCGTCCGACTTCGGCTCAGGTCATGATCTCACGGTTTGTGGGTTTGAGCCCCGTGTCAGGATCTGTGCTGACAGCTAGCTCAGAGCCGGCAGCCTGCTTCAGATTCTGTGTCTCCCTCTCTCTGACCCTCCCTTGCCTACTCTCTCTCTCTCTCAGAAATAAATGAAACATTAAAAAATAATTTTAAAAAAGTGTATCTTGGTTGTTGTAAACTGCCAAAACTTTGGGGTAGTTTTGTTACCACGAACAAATCTAGCCTATTCCAGCTGCAACAGATAACAACTTGGAAGAAAATAACTGTGTGGTTGAAAATGTCCCTGTTCATATTGTATTTATAAGCCGCTCAACCTTGAGTAATTAATCATTTGTCAATTTCCTTGATGTTGAGCATCTTTCCCCCACATATAACAGAAAGAGGGCTCATCTTATCTCACACATTAGAACTATCTTATAACTAGTTTGATAAACTGTGATTTGCCTCATCATGTGATTTACAGCTGAATTGCTCAACTCTTTTTCTTTATTCCTGAAGGAGCTGTCAAATTGAAGGTAGTTGAGTGGATTGAAAACAGGTCAACCAATATGATGTTACCCCCAAAACGCACATGGAAGAAAATCTAATCATGCATGCAACGACATCTGAAAGAATGATTGGCAAATTGACAAGGTTGTTGGTGCTAAACAGGCTTTGGCTTTTTGCCTTGCTTACAGCTCCCCTGCTATGGAGATCTGCCCATGGACCACTGGAAGGCAGCCTCAGAGGCACTGTGCCTTCACATCTGTGAAGACTTTTTTTGAGTTGGTAAGAAAAGGCGCTGAGTGGCTGTGATCCCAGGAAAAAGAATCAGGGCACTGGAAAATCAGAAAGATCACTAAGTGAAGGGGGAGAAGCCATGGTATTTAATGCCATTTCCAAAGAATAGATATATTTAAACATTTCCTTGTGATTTTCCAGAGAAAACCATGTATTGGAAAGCAGTGTGGGAGGAAAAAGTTAACACACTAATGTCACAATGGTTTTTCTAGTTTTTCTTTAGGCTTAAAGAGTTAAAATTACACCAGATGTGGAAAGACAACAGATGGATGCATTCTGATGACTTATAATGTTGGATAATAAAATGACCTAAGACTCTATTTAGAGAAATAGAACAGCCACACTTGGGCTGTTTACAGACTTAGAAATATCATGATAAGCAAATGTAGGCAGTTCAAAGGAATTATATTAAAAAAAAGGGCAAGTGGATAAATAATGATCTGATGTTGTTGCGAAAACATAGTATAACTCCTGCATTGTTAATATAAACACAGATGACCTTTGCATTTGCTCAACTTTCGTCTTCAAGACAGGAAACAGCAACTGATCTTTATCAGGAAAGTAGAATCTTCCACTTGCTTCTGCTGTGCTGACATTATGGTGTATGTCAGAGCATAGCAATGTCACTATCTCTTCAAAGCACATGCTGAAAGCCAGATAGGTGCTTGAAAGAGAAGCTTATCCCGGGCATAGGCTTTGTGTGTTGCCGAGACAGTATGGCCAGTGTCACAGTGCAGGACGGCAGGGTGCGTGCGTGGGGTATGGAGTTGGGGGTGGGATGGTGATCAGTGAGGGAAGGGCCCTGTGACTACATTTTCCATGCCCATATCCATCAATTCTTCCTTTTCACAAACTTCAATATCCTCTAGGGGAATGTTTACCACTTGACAAACAAACAAATACACCAAAGGACAATTGTTTCGTGCATGAGGCTAGCTAGTGAGTCCTATATTCTGGGCATCCTATGAACTAAAACACCCACAAAGAATTGTTTATGAATTACACAATATTTTGTGTCAGTAGAGTTTCAAACATTTGAACTATTTTTTTCTCCAGTTCTGATAAAAATGGATTTGGTCTTTTTTTTTTTTTTTTCTTTTACAGTGTGCACATAATCACACACATGTTCATCATCAATACAACATTTAAAAAAATCCATGCAGGTAGTTTGCGGCAACCTATGGTGAATGGTGAATATTCTCTATTTCTGTTCTGGATTTCTCCCTAAATAAAATCACTGAAATTGACCTTGTATTTCTTGCTGCATGGTCCATTTGGTCTGGGCTCTAAAACAGATCCTCTCAGTATGGACTAAGTTCGTATTGCTCATACTTATTACATTTTTCTCATCTACCATAATACTTGTAGAAAACACCTTTATTTTATGTTTCTCCATAGCCATTATGTAGAGTCATAATCCTGTTTCCTTAGACCCAGAGTGGAATGATTTTCCTTAGGCTTTACCTAATGTAATCTGGCCAGAGAAACTGTTTCTCGAGAAAGGCATTCTAGCAAGAATGATGGTGCCAGGGTCATTCTCCTTACTATTCCAGATAAATAAATTCACACATACTTCTTTCTTAAGCTTTCAGCTTCTCTGTTATGTGCCCTTAAGTGGTTTAAACTTTACATGCTGATACCAGCCACTATCTACTTAATCAGCACCAGTGCTACTATAATCTAACTTAAGGGTTGACAAAATTTTTCTGTAAAAAGTCAGTACCTATTTTCAGCGTTGTGGGCAATATGGTCTCTGTTGCAGTTAAACAGCTCTGCCAATGTAGCATGAAAGCAGCCAGAGATACAATAACTGAGCATGTTCCAATAAAACTTTATTTACAAAAACAGATTGAGAGGCGTGGTTTTGGCTGGTGACCTGTAGTTTGTCGACTCCTGATCCAAAACAAACAGACACCCTTAGTCATACTAACAATTTGTAAATCAGATTCTTATCCTGATGAAATCACACTCCCTCACAGCCTTCCTATTTCCCCATAGGCTTATTTAAGAAACATAAAACTGCAATATGGTATATTTGAAAGTTGGTAAGAGACTAGAGCCTAAAAGTTCTCATCACAAGGGGGAAAAACATTTTCTTTCCTTTCTTGTATCTACATGAGATTATGGATATGATTAAGCTTATTGTGGTAATAATTTTGTGATTATATGTAGGGCAAGACATTGTGCCATACACCTTAAACTTATATAGTCAGTTGCATTTCAGTAAAACTGGGGGAAAACCAATATGGAGACATAATTACTACTTACTAAGCAGGAATCTATGAAAATGGATATTCCAACCTCTCTCTCTCCAAGGCATTTGTTCTATGAATATTGGCAAATGCTACCCCTTTAAAGATGCTTCTGTGTGTTTTCTTTTCCCCTTTCCCAGCTCAGATCATATCATCCCATTTCCTGTCTTTTACATTCAGTAGCAAGTTACATTCTCTCTAACCAAGATGGGCTAGAGAAATATTTCTGATATATAGAAAATCATAGAAACATAAAGCCATAGAGGGCTTAAATCATAATGATGGCCAGCTTTTGAAGAGCATCTACAACATGCCAAATATTTATTACCCAGGAACAATCATTACCTTGCGTACCTTTACTGTATCTTATAGATGAGGAAACTAATGCTCAAATACATTAACTGAATCACTCAAGATTCTAAAATTAGATCTGGGACTTCAACGCAGTCTCCTGACTCACTGTAACATGCTCTTTGCACCAAAGTTAAAAGATCCCATCTTGTTCTTTGTTCATCAGATTTTCCAGATTCCTCCCCACAAAACTGATGGTCGGTACTTTTGATCGAACTGAACTCGAAAAAGAATACCTTTAATTAACATTTAGTATGAGGATACTTGGGGAAGTCATAGTGAAGTGTATTGAGCTGAAGGCTGGAGGAGGCAGCTAGTAATGGTACATTACCAGCTGGCTGGCCTGGGGCTTCTTGGCTTTAGAGGCCCAGGGCAAGGGCTTTCCAGCATGTCCTACTCACACTGGTCCTTCATTATAAAGTTAGTGCAATGTATTGTAGATGTCACAAATGGGAAAAGGAAGGGAAAAGAAAGGACAGAAGCTCAAGGAACAGTCTAGAGAAGACAGTGCTCTCTCTTAGTCATAGAAAAGAATTTGAGGAACCAAGAGGAGGGCCTATGGGTGTACTGACCAGATCCAACTAACCAAGTCAGCCATATACACCAGGGTTGCTGCTGGATAGTAATCTGGAAAGAGGGTTTAGGAACTGGGCAGAAGACATACTCTTCTAGAATTTCAAATGCCAGGTTCCCAAATACTGGCTCATGAGAATTTTCTCATTCCTCATTATTCTACTACCTGAAAGGAATGTGCGGAAAATGTGTCATGGCAGGGTTCAAAATGGATTAGCT